ATATCCTCTATAAGGGCTCGGGGGTTGTTGATCCTATTGTTCTTTTGTTTTTGTTTTTGTTTTGTTTTTTGTTTTTCGTCTTGATTTCCCCCATTTATATCCTCTATAAGGGCTCGGGGGTTGTTGATCCTATTGTTCTTTTGTTTTTGTTTCCTAAATTTCCAGAGTTATATCCTCTATAAGGGCTCGGGGGTTGTTGATCCTATTGTTCTTTTGTTTTTGTTTTGTTTTTTGTTTTTGTTTTGTTTTTGTTTTACCGCGGCCCAAGAAATCGGCGACCCCGCTCTCTCTCGGCAATATTAATTGTTATTTTTTTCTTTCTTTTTTTCTTTTTTTTTGTTGTTTTCTCTTTGATTTTCTTTTTCTCTTCGGTTTCTTTTTCTTTCACTCTGTCTGTGTCATTCACTGTCTCTCTCTCTCTTTCTCTTTCTTTCTTTTTTCAGTTTCTTTCTTTCTGTTCTCTTTATTCTGGTTTTACATTTACATTTAGATTAATGATTGTACATTTAGATTTTTGGGGGGAGTGATGGCTAAGATGACGTCATTATGATTTTTTTCATGATAGACAGAGAGAGAGAGAGAGAGAGAGAGAGAGAAAATGAGAGAGAGAGAGAAAGGAAAAGAGAATAGACTAAGAGAAAGAGAAGGGGAGATATGGAAAAAAAGAGAAATAATGAGAGAAAATACAAAATAATCATAAAAAAATAGACGAAGATAGCAATAATAAGAACAAACAGGGGGAAGAGAGAGAAATGAGAATGAGGGGGATAGGGGGGGAGGGGGTGATGCAAAACGAGGTCAGAGGTCGGGGTGACCATAGGCCTATAGCGCTAGGAGGCCGTGAGGTTAGAAGAGAAAGGCAAGGGAAAATTTATCTCTGTGTCTCTATTTTTATCGTATTTTTTTTCTTTTATTTATTTTAATCATGGTCAGTTATTCGCTTACTCACTCACTCGCTAACTTACTCACTCACTCACTCGTTGACACACATTCACTCACTCGTTGACACACACACACACACGCGCGCGCGCGCGCGCCCACAACTACGCCCCCACACACTCATATCCCAAAATGAATAACAGCTCACATAAATACGATGACCTCTCTAATATTATGTTAATTATGAAAAGTTAATTATGTAGCGATCAATTTTTCCTCCTCTCAAGAATGTGATGTTGATGACATTGACTTCAACTTGATGTTAATGGACGTAAGCGGATGTTAATTTTGCAGTGACATCTTTAGAACTGAAGTCAACTCGTGACGAAAACAGTGATGTGAGTTGCTTATTGACGTGGAAATTGTTAATTAATTCGTAAATGAGATTGGGTGACGCGTATATTCGTACATATGCACAGATGCAGTGAGACATCGAGAGAGGGAGAGAGAGGAGAGAGAGAGAGAGAGAGAGAGAGAGAAAGAGAGAGAGGGAGAGAGGGAGAGGGAGGGAGAGAGAGAAATAGTGAGAGAGATAGAGAGAGAGAAAGAGAGACAGAGAGATAGAGAGGAAGAGTGAAAGAGAGAAAGAAGAGTTAAATATACTACATAAACGAGAGACAGAGAAAGCGAAGGGGAAACAGAGAGAGGCAGAGAATGGGGAGGAGAGTCAGAGAAGAGTGAAGTGCGTAGATGGAGAGAGAAAGCGAAAGCAAGAGAAAGTGAATAAGCAGAGGTCATAGGGCACATAGCTACGATCTAACACAGAGGGAAAGCTTTAGTTAAAACCTATCTTATATTTGCTATTTCCCTCTGTTTATCACTCGATGTGCCTTTTATCTTTTTCTAATTACTTGATTATTCTGGGGCTTGTTAGTTGTTGTTGTTTTTTCTCTCTCTCTCTCTTCTCTCTCTCGTTCTCTCGTTCCCATTCGTTCTCTCACTCTCTCTCTCTCTCTCTCTCTTCCTCTCTCTATTTCTCTCTCACTGCCCCCTCTCACACTCATGTTGATATGTAAACATTAACGCATACGTACACACACACGGACAAATAAACACACACACACACACACACACACACACACACACACACACACACACACACACACACACACACACACACACACACACACACACACACACACACACACACATGAACACACACACACACACACACACACACACACATATATATATATATGTATATATATATATATATATATATATATATATATATATATATATATATATATATATAATCACACATAGAAGCAAACAAAACAAACAAGCACCTACATACACAACAGCAAACATCATACAAAACACCCACACATGCACAGATACACACGATGTCACACACAAGCAGACGCAAGCACTCGCAAAGCCTAAAACGAGTAGATTCAACCACACACAGACACGAAGTCACACTTACTAACATACACAAGCACGCATGAAGTCAAACGCAAATACGCATAAAGTCACAAACTATCGCATACGAAGTCACACACACAAGCACACACGCAGTAACACAAAACATGCAAGCACAGATACACACAAGCAGGCA